ATAAGTGCAACCTGATTGCACTAGCAGCCCTTTCATCCAAGTCAGCTCAATCCTCAACTTTCATGGTATCAGAATTTTTGGCATCAGCATCTAGTACCTTGTGTAATCTTTGTTGGATGAGCAGATCCCTCATCCTTCTTTGCCATGTTGAGAAACTGCTATCTCCATTAAATTTTGCTACCTCGTACTTTACTCCGGATATTTTTTTTCACCGAGTATAGTACGACAGACAGTGAATAATACTTCTGTGAACGAGCGAAACATGTGCTATGATATTAGTTGTTGGGAATAAACTCCCACAGAAATAATATTCACGGTAATAAAAACGGAATAATAACGTAGCACCGAGATACGGTAATTAACAAGAATAAAAGAGTGACAACGACACCAAGATTTTTATGTGGAAAACCCTTTTGAATAAGGAAATAAACCATGGCCCTGATACGAGCAACTGATATCACTATAGCAAGGAATTATATACTTTGTAGGTCCGAGTAAAATACTCCAAAGACCACTACAACACTCAAAAGAAATAACCCTCTTTTGATATTCCACCTTACTACAATATCGCTCACTCTCTATTTTTCTCACAGACTATTTTCTTATACCCTGTATGTGAAACCTCACTGTTTCTTTTTCTCTTTGTTGGTATGTCTTCAACTGAATCAGGAGCTATCTATTTATAGATGTCCAATTCTCCTTGCTTGCATTATGGATGATATCATCATAATATAAATGTCAAACGTTCACCTTGTGAAAGCAATGAAAAATCTGCCAACCCAAATCACATTTCCTTTAGATTTGGCAGCATGGTACTCTATGTCAAAGTAAGTTTGTCTTCCTTTCACATTCATGGAATGGACCCCACAGTACAATCATTCAACTTCAAGCATGGATTGAAAAATTTATAAAGTCGTTCTATGGTACTACCCTACAATGCAAAAGTAGGAACCATTAGCAGAACTTAATTAATTAAGAAGTAGTCAAATTAGTTCATGATTACATGTTTCGGCATTTACAACATCCTTGGGCTTAACCAGCTTGAAAATATGTTTAACATAATGCGATATTGTTCGCTCCTAACTCGCACAATTTATCCAAAAAGGTTCGCGTCATTAAAAGTATTTCTACACCTTATATATAATTTCTCAATCTCTTCGACTACCTATATGGGAACTTATTCACACATTCAACAAAAAATGACCATCATTTCTTGGATGTAAGGTAGGGATATGGTATAATTATCAATACGAAAAACGGTTAAAACTTCTCTTGTACTATATGAAATAGGACAACTATACCGTGTGTTTAAAGTTGGTAGCATAATTACTTATTATAATAGCTCATAATTACATGTTTCGGCATTCACAACATCATTGGGTTCAACCCGCTCGAAAATACGTTTAACATGATGCGATATTGTTCTCTCCTAACTCGCACAATTTACCGAAAAAGTCTCACATCATTAAGAGTATTTCTACATCTTATATATAATTCCTCCATCTTTTCGGCTACCAATATAAAAATTTATTCACGCACTCAACAAAAAAAATGACCATCATTTCTTGGATGTAAGGTAGGGATATGGCATAATTATCAATACGGAAAAGGGTCAAAATTGCTCCTATACTCTACGAAATACGATAACTATACACTTTGTGTAAAGTTGGTAGCATGATTGCCCTCGCCGTGACCAAATGGGCGCATTCTTATCCTTTTCCACTAACAGATCTAATTCTTTTTTTTTAATTAATATTTTCTTTCCTCAAATAATATGTCATGTGTCCTAACCAAATCAAAGTGGATCAGATTTACTCTTACACAATTTGTATGGTTCAACTTTGGATTGAAGTCAACAGTCTGTGGCCTAATCTAAATTAGAGCCTAAGCCCAATATATAGAGTGAGCCCACTTTTGTTTTAAGATTAGGGCCCATATTTGTGAAGAGGCAGTAATAGAGACAACAGTTCCTTGGACTTTTCTTATTTCTTTTTCTTTCCTAAAGTCCTCCCTTTGGAAGTGAACCCCACTGCATTTGATTACTTTGTTTTTTGTGTGTCCTTCTGCCTGTCTTTTTTTTAAGATGTTTGTCCAAATCAATTTGAAACCACTTTCATGAGTACTTACTATCTCATTAGTCCAAGCAGATCGAAGAAATCACTTAATGTTGTGTTAGATTTAAAACCCGATTTCTAAGATTTGTAATCCGATAAACATTGGGCCATACTCTTATGTGCTTCTAAATGTCATCTTATTATTTGAAGAGATTTTATATAATCTGATAATTGCCACAAATCTAAAAACATGACCATGGATAGGAAGGGATGAATGTTGAGAATAAAGGTTAAAGGTTAGGTAATCGAGTGTTATCCTTATTTGTAACAGTAACTTTAATACACCACTTGGTGTTTTCGTGTTTTTTCGTATCTCTAGACTTCTGTTACTACTTGTTGTCTTTTGTTTCGATTTTCTGATTGCATTATCTATTGTTAGTTTTATATTTTCGCTTCGGTTGTCAGATCGGTTTACTTGTTATTGCCCCTCCCCTTTCCCTTCCTGAGCTAAGGATCTACCGGAACCCTTCACGGAGCTCACTTGTGGATTACACTCACTGTTAGTTGTTGGTGGTGGTGATAATTGCCACATATACCTTTGCTTTTCTATGGTTGAGAAAATACCAGCATCAAGTTCTCTCTATCTTAAAAGGAGTAGGGGCCTGAAAAGGTAAAGTAGGTCCCCACACAAAATATTGCCCCCTGCCCTTAGTCCCAACCCACATCACAAAATGTATAAAGATGGTCATTCTGGTTTTGTGCTAACTAACCAAGCCCCTGAAATAGTAGAAACTAGGAAATTGCTGTCCAGTTCTTTTTTGAGGTTAAAAATGGTTGGAGGATGAGATCATCCATGACATGGCTCTCACTTTCTAACTACTTTGGACCACTTCCACCATATTCTAATATTGGATCTAACAAAGTAAAAATTACGGCCACCCCGGTTCACTGAGTTTCGCACGATATCTACTATTTCCCATCAACATAGGGATCAGATAATTTTGTCTGTCAAAATTTTGATATATGAGAAGAAATCACCTAGTATTTTTACCTCTGCTAGAATTTGAACATGAGATCCCATGAAATACACTTCATTAACTATTACTCGACACAGTTGGTGAAGCTAAGAATGTCTAATTGTATACCATAGCCCCAAACTAATATCCTTTTTAAAGTGAAGTCCAACATTAAATTTCTTGATTCTTATATATACTTTTTATACGGAGGCAGACCTACATCGTAGGCACAGAAGTCACCGGCATCCGAAAATTTCGGCAAAAATTTTATATATACTTGCTAATTTTTTCAAGAAATAGTCAGATATTAACATAGGTCCTCGTACCAATTTTTATGAGCAGTAATAAATTTATATTGAATGTAGCGGTGTCCCGTAACTGTCGAATCTTGGGTCCGGCTCTTCTTTTATATATTCAAAACTAAATCAACCAAGTTCTTAATTTGAAAAGGATGAAAAGTAACTTGTTAGAATTAACGGATCAATAAGACTACACTGATTGGTAAAAGCTTCTCACCTTCTGCAATATAAGCTGAATTAATTTGAAAACAGATTTTAGGAACATGTCACTTTCTTAGAAAAGAAAGGAGACACCACAATTAATACTTCAAATATTTGCATACTCTAGGCAATTACTAAGAGCCCGATTGGACATAAGAATTTTTTTCCTTTTTTCAATTTTTATTTTATTTTAAAATTAGCGTTTGTTCATAAAATTTTCAATTTTCACTTGAAGATACATTTTGAAAATTTTCGAAAGTTTGAAAAACTCCAAAAAACTATTTTTCAAATTTTTCACTCACAAAACTTCAAAAATAACCCAAAATTATATTCATGTCCAAACACAACTCTAAATTTCAAATATCATTTTCACTTGAAAAATTTTCACCCTTTTTTGGAATTTTACAATTCTTATGTCCAAACGCCCACTAACATTAACTACATGTAGCAACCCCTTCTGAATACTTCTCAAAACTTCAAATTTCCTTTGAACATTTAATGAAATAGCATGGAGACACTACTTATTAGCCACCTAATCATTAATATGGCTTACTATTATATATATAAAAAATTACAAATAAAAATATCTTTAAAATGTTTAGAGAACTCGAATAGTAATAGTGTCGTATAAAACGGAACAGATAGAGAGCCTGTTTGGATGGGCTTAAAAGCTGGTCAAATTAGCTTTTAAGCAGTTTTTAACTGGAAAACCCAACTTTTTCTAAATTGGCTTAAAAGCCATATTGCTTTGACCAAGAATATTACATTATTATCCCTTATAATTTTTCTTAAAAACCGAAATTACCCCCAAGTTAAAACCCTACAACATACTATTTTTTTTTTCTCCATTCTACAATATTTGTCAATTTATTGAAGTTCTTAACGTGAGGCAAACAATATTCATTCAATTGGTATAATTATATTCTAAAATCAAATCATTCAATCAATTTACGTGTTACCCATGAATTTGAAGCTATGAACGGAAAATATAATATTATAGTCATCATATTCTTTATAATGTTAATAACTTTAAGGATATTTCAGTCATTTTAACAAGAAAAAGTGTTTACCAGCACTTGTTTACCAAACACTTCATCAGCTTGTTTTAAGTTTCAGCACTTTTATCCAAACGCTTAACTGCTTATTTATAAAACAAGTTCCAGCACTTATAAAGTGCGTGCTTTTAAGCACTTAACTTAAAAAAGCCAATTTTTTTTTAAGTCAATCCAAACGGCCATAGTATGGACAGTTCGTTAGTCAGGTATACAAAAACTGCAAAGATAACAAAAGGGGTCTACTAAGTTTAAAGATGTTGTGCCTCCTTTTTATCTAAAAAGAGTTATTGGACTTCTGAATGGAAACACACTTACTTACACATCATAACAAAAAAGATCTAACAACCTTTTACCTAAAATAGTCCACAAAAGCGGTTGATTAAGTCCTATCATTCTATTCCTTTCACAGAAACACAACAGATCAAGAAAATTTGACAATGGAAATTTATGTAGAGTTAGGTTATTATGTTACAACAGATGAATATGCTTCTATCTTTTTACACACCAAAAAATGACAGCCTATTCTCTTCTTTTTCAAGTGCCAAAAGAGAATCTACCTATCTGCTTGCTATTTCCATTGTCAATCTTTTTTATCCCACTAGAATGTGCACAACAATGCCCTACCTTATCATTTTTGAATGTGATCTTCTATTTTATTCGAGCATGTACACTTCGAACGCCTTTCGGATAGTGCCTGAAAATAATTCAAGAAAATGCAGTCATTGCACATTGAATTAAAGTGGAAAATGTGAATGGAAGGGATCCCTTGGTATTGCTCATTGTTATTCCTTTTTGGGATGTACCTTGACTTGTGTCTCTAGTTCTTTAATGTAGTCAGCTGCAAAGTCCAACATATCTGCTGTGTTTGTTTGCTGCAAAGAAACGAAAAAAGAAAAAAGAAAGAATAAGAGAAGCTAAATTTCGACTGCACCATATTTTTGGGCAATTTGTAAGTTAAGATTACCTTGTCCATATTGGGAACAAGATCTTGCAGCTTCCTCATTCTGTCGCTAATTCGCGTTCTTCTTACCTAAGATTTGTTACAATTAAATCACTAAATGCTTAGCCTATCTTTGAAGGATAAAACAACTTGATTTAACTCCAAAGGTTATGTACCCTTTCAGCGATGCTACGAGGATGAGTGGCACAACCTCTTTTTGCTCTGACTTTACAAGGTACTGAATCTTGCAAGAGCTTCTCCATGGCGGATAACTCCGCTGAGGTTTGAGGCAAACTTAGATGAGACAACAGAGTGGGAGGGCGAGCTCGACCTTCACTACTCTGATTATCAAAACCATGTATGCATGAGATTAATCAGGCGTAAAAACAACGTTAACAATAATAATTACTGTTATCACTACTCAATCCCAAACTAACTAGGTAGGCCATGTGAATCCGCAATATTTCGAGCTGTTTCATTTCAACAGGTGGTAAAAGAACGACGAATGTGATTAAGAAAGTACCTGATTATCAGATGCATTTACATTGGAGAACGGCTCGGCCTCATTATCTTCTGGTACTTGAAGGAAATCATCAGTCAACATTTGTGAATCATCCCAAGAAGGCATGGGGAAAACTGTCATGTAACTCTCATCATTTTTATGGCCTTTACCAAAACTTTCATCGCCTGCTCGGCCCTCTTCTATGCTTTTAGCTCCAAATACAGAGATTGGAGCTAATAGCCCCGAAGAAGGCGGTTGTCCGGATTGGAGAGCCGTTTGACTACTAAACCTGTTTGGAGTGGGAAATGATGCTTCGGCAGCAGCATTACCACCAGCTCCATAACCCCCTATGCCTCTCATTGCACCATATTCTGTCAATTGCTGAAAAGTTTTAGTAACAAACTCAAACTCTAATGTCAGATCAAAACATTGGAAATGACCACAAACTTCTATTTAGATTCATTACTTACTTTTGCCCCCTTTGTGGAAAGAACTTTTAAAATCTCAGAAAACCTACTTTTTCTTTCTTCCCTTACCAAAGTATAATAGTTAAAAGAACATCTCAGCAAACTAATAGTCTGTACCAAACAGTTCATGAGTATTTAGTGGCAAAAATTGTTGACTCGCCTCTTTTCTCTTCTAAAACTAATTTAGCTATCTTCAATAACTATGATAAGTATGCATATGCATGCAACTTTATTTTCTAGGAAGATTTGAATTACAGCTGAGAAGCATAGCTTAATAAAGATAGAGTCTTGGCTCAGTCCACGCAATGCAAGATTTCAAAATAAACATTTAGACGAATAAATGAACTTATAAAATGAATCTCCACATAAATTTAAAAACATTTCTTCATCTGAATTTATACCACTAGTCATGATATATAATAAAAATCACTACCAAAAATGTTGAAGCAAGACAATGCATACCATTTTCAATATCAAATTGTGCAAAGAATCCAGCAGGCGAACTGTTATAACGAGTAAGATTTGAATTACTACTACCAGCACCAAATCCACCATCCATTTTCGTCTGGTTCAAACGATTTGAATCTGCCGCACCCAAAAATCTGGCAAAATTATCCATGGCCGACGTAAGGTCCGAATTGTCATTTTGTTGAGCTTGAGTTTGATAATTCATTTGTGAAGCCAAAGAATAATCACTATTTTGCTGAGTTTCTTGTTTCACTGCTGCAATAAACTGCGAATTCTGACTCTGTCGCGCTTGGCTTTGCTCATGTTCTTGTTTCGTAGGAGCTACACCCTCTGATCTAACATTCATATTACTCATGTGATTTTGCTGAATTTGCTGAGTATCACCAATTAGGCCATTATTCGGATTCAAATCTTGGGGATCAATATTAGCCACAAATCTATCGAAAACTTGCTTTACATCATCAGTATTCGAAGCACGAGAATTGAGCAACTGATCAAAATCATCTCTTGCATAACCACAATTACCACCTCCACTAACAACAGCAGTAGGATTATTACTACTCAAAAGACTGGAAAAATAAGAACTCGGAGCGGATCGATATCGAGTTAAGCCAGAAGTCATCTGTTGCTGCTGATGACTTCTATGATCCATACTTTTCTCCTATTTCCTTAGTTTCTCCCTTCAAATACCCAAAATAATTCTCCTTTATTAGGAAAAACAACAACCACTACCTCAAGCGGAAGCAAATTGAGATCGGCTATATGAATCTTCATTGACCATGTTGCTCCATTAAAGATTTCTCCCTTCAAATACCCAAAAGATTTCTCTATTATTAGGAAAAAGCAAAGAAAATTAAAGAAAAATAACAAGATAATAATGTATGCAGCTCAGTACAAGCAACAATAGGCAGATCCAAATTATAGAAAATATAAAGAAATTATTTTAAAATATGTGCATGTAATTAAGTGGCACCTACCAACTTTAAATCCTGAATCCAAGAACTAAAGCTTCAAATTGAAATGCTTTTGCAGACCTTTTTTCAAACAAAAAGTAGAGTTTTTGAGGGGTACCTCAACCCTCTAAATTCACAAATAAAATCATGAATAGAAACCCCACAAGCTCAAAATTTTCAATATAGAAAGTTCTACTACTGAACCAGAGAAAAATAATATTTATATGGCTAGATTTCAAGATACTTTAGAAAAGTTGAAAAGTTAACTAAAAGAGACCCACTAAAGGTAAGAATCAAGAACATAAATACATATGCATAAACGTAATAGAACTATAGCTAACACTTGAAATTGAGCTAAAAAGAAACAACAGAAACAGAAAAATGTTAAGTCATGAGAAGGGGATAAGAATAACAGTGATATACACCACTACATATAAGAGAATATTGGGACAAGAAGATGACAAATAGCAAACAAACAGAGTACACTAAAAGCTATGGTGAAAAAAGTTCCCTTTTTTGCTTTTAATTTTTTAGCCAAAAAAGAAGGTATCTAGAAAATGGATATGGTGATGGTGAAGGGGTGGCAGTAGGAGGAAGAAGAAGAAGTATACCCGGGGTGATTTTGTGGGGTGGGTGGGGGGAGTGGGAAAAAAGTGCAGAGCCAATGAGAACTTCAGCAACAGAGAGATCTCGGTTGTTATTTTTGATATATTCTATTTTTAGCACTAAATGATGAGTATTTATTATATCTGCTTTTTGTCATATTAATAATCTTATGCAATTAATTAAGGGGGCGTTTGTTAAAAGAGAAAATGTTGTCCAAAATTCCTCTCTGTTTTTGCATAAATGTTTCTGGAAAAATTGACCGAAAAAGAATTTTTTATTTTTTTATTTTTGAAAGAAGCTGAAAAACAAGGTTAGTTGAAAAAGAAATTTCTTTTTTGTTCTTTTCTTTTTACATATTTGAAACAACGGCCAAATAATATTCTCTTTTATCTCAATAAAAGTTAGTGTATTCAAATTATAAGGTTCAATCTTACTGGAAAAAAGTCAACAGTATTTTTGTTTTGTTTTATATATTTAGTGGGTAGTACCACAATTGAGTGAGAAAAAGAAAATAATCCTTTTAATTTCAATATAAACTAACAACCATTTTAACTTTTTATAATAAATTCTACATAGTTAGAGTGAGTATTATAAATCACAATTTTGTATAGCTAAAAATCGTGATTGAAGAAAAACTTATTTAATTCTTTAAATAATAATAGTACTATGTAAATGAGGTAGGAAGAGTAGTTAATTTATCAATTTTGATTTCGATGATATTTGGAGGATATACTCATGATTAAATTGACACTTTTGTCTATACATAAGTTTTTAATTTTGGAAAATTTGTTTTGGTTGATTGAAGATTTGAAGTTGAAGGAATTGACAAATCAAGATATTTCAACAGAAAAGCTGTGAAAATGACAAATAAAATTTGGGAGAAATTCATTAAAAAATTTAAAATGTACCAAACAAAAAGGTTTAATATTTATTCACTGACTATATAATCTTTTTTTTAATAATAAAGGTTCTCTTTTTTCAATTTTAGTGTCACTCAAAATGAACCTGGATATAATAATTAAATTTTAGTACGAATTCAAGTAAATTATCCCAATGAAACTAAGTTTTCTTTAGGGCTTAAGTTGTTGGGACACGTGGACTAAGCAGTTTAATTTGTAAATAATAATACTAATACTTTTTATTTTAAAAAGTGATTTATTTAGGCCACCAAGTACACAGGTGTACACTCAGTAATAGAGCTTGATATAATAATCCTATTTACTTAATATTTAATCAATCTGCGTTTGAATAAATTAGACACTTCTTAGTTAATTAATTACAAGGTAGATTTCGCAATCTATTAAATTATGAATTAACTCCCTTTATTATCGGAGATTAGAGTTGGATGTAAGCTAGTGTATTTTTTAAATCCTTATGGTGTTGTCTTTATTTGGCATGTTACTTATTCTATTACGTGGACGATTGTTACGTATGGTTTCATAATATATTATATTTTATTATAATTATTTGAATATATTATATTATTTTGATGTCGTTTCATGATGTAATTCACTCGCTATGAAAAATAAACTTACAATATTACAATAAAAAAGTATGATACGAGATAGAATTATTATATAAAAAAATAGAATAAAAGATAAAATGAGATTATTTAATAACAGAAAATGGGCAAGATGAAAGAAAAAAGTAAGGTAAAGACGCAACCACACCAAATCGGTCGTTACATAAAGTGACATTTTTCGTCGTTATGTAACAACGAATTTAACAATACATACAATAAAATTTAAGTAACAATCAAAAAAATATTGTATTTAAAGTGACAATAGAATACAATAAATACTCCCTCCGGTCCATTTTTATTGATTTTTTGGCTCTTTTCACACATATTAAAGAATTCACCTTTTAGCATTAATTAACAATGAAATTGACCATATTAACCTTAATTTGTTCATTGTAAATATAACAACTCATGCTCTTTACTCCAAGAACAACTTTGAAAAAAGGAAGTTAATTCTTTCTTGATATCTAAAAATATCAAATATTGTGGACAAAAAAAAATGGTCGAAAATCAATTAAACTGGACCGAAGAGAATAACCATCCAAACAAGTTGTTAGTGTTTGGAACCAAAGGGTTATCTTCTTTTTTTTTCGATTTCTTGAACAATATCTGGTACTCATATTGAGGCCCGACGAGGACCGAATTCAAGCGAAGGCGAAGCAACTGTAATGGTTGTTTTAGACCCCAAAAATATTTAGGCTCCAAAATTTATAATATATATAAAAATTACTGCTAGTTAATAATAAATCCGAAATTGGATTAACCACAATCTTCCAACTTCAAATCATATAACTATTGCCCATTGCCCGCTAAAGAGTAAAAATTGTATGGGGCGCCCTATTTGGTCGCCCCCATTTAACCTATACTCATATTTTTAAAATTATTTAACCTATACCCTAATTTTGACAACTTCAGATCCTGCGACCTATGCGCTCATTTCTTCCTCCTCTTCTTTTCCTCTTCTTCTTCTTTTCTCTCTCAAACATGTTATCATGTAAGTTACACATGTTATCATTTCTGGAAATTGGACAAAGCGACAAATCAAGAAGAAAGAAAGACTCGCCACTGCCTCTCAAATATTAATACATCCCAACACAAAATACGTAAATAATAAAATAAGAGTTTATTGTCAAAACTCGAAAAAGCATCAACTGAAGTTTGGGACTGCAGGGACAAACTTCAGACATTACCAAGTTAAATTTTGTCTAAAGTTTGCAACTATTATGCCAGAAAAAATAATCTGAAGTTCAAATATAATAAGTTGATTTTGTCTGAAGTTTGCACTATAAACTGAAGAATTTCAGACTAATTAGTCTGAAGTTTGCACCCCAACACAAAGTACATAAATAATAAAACAAGAGTTTATTGTCAAAACTCGAAGAAGCATCAATTGAAGTTTGGGACTGCAGGGCCAAACTTCAGACATTACCAAGTTAAATTTTGTCTGAAGTTTGCACCCCAACACAAAGTACATAAATAATAAAACAAGAGTTTATTGTCAAAACTCGAAGAAGCATCAATTGAAGTTTGGGACTGCAGGGCCAAACTTCAGACATTACCAAGTTAAATTTTGTCTGAAGTTTGCAACTATCATGCGAGGAAAAATTATCTGAAGTTCAAATATAACAAGCTGATTTTGTCTGACGTTTGCACTACAAACTGAAGAACTTCAAACTAATTTGTATGCAGTTTGCACTATGAACTAAAGTTTTTTTTTTTTATTGCTTTTGCAAGTTAAGCCAAACTTCAGACGAAAATATCTGAAGTTTTACTTTGATAAGGTCACACTTCAGACAAAAAATTCTGAAGTTCAAACTTCAGGCATAAATTCTTGCTACTTCAGGCCCCGTATGTCTGAAGTTACTCGAAAAGTGGGTACGCTTGCAATTTTTTTATAAAACGAATATAAGTTAAATTGTGACCCAAAAACTTGGTATAGATGCAATTAGTTGCGAAGGTCATTTAAATCTATTTTTGAACATACTACTCTGCATGCATATTAATTATATATGTATTACGGTGGAGATTCTCAGAAAAATATTAAAGAAATAGGACAATTTACATTCTTTATAAGTTTTTCTAAGATTTTTGTTCAACTACTCTTTATTTAGTTGCTATCCTTTATAACACACATAAGACACTTACACCCTCCAGAGAGCTTGACCTTTGCTTTAAAAGGAAAAGAAAAATTCAAAGATTGTGGCGGGACATATAAAATTTCTTCATTCTTATTCAGAGATCTCGGTTCGAGTTTTGAGATGAAAAAAATTATGGTATAGAGTGTTTCCCCTTTTATCGAGCCTTACACAATGCGAGTTCAAGTTAATCTAGTCACGCTTTGGATATCGAATGATTATTTAAAAAAAGAAGGAAAAAAAGAAGGTTTTGACTATTTTGCCCAACATCTTGGAGGATAGGAACTAAATGCTTAATAAATGTTTAAATAACTAACATGAGAATTGAGATTGGAATTAGCCAATCAAGTCAAAGGGCCAATAATAAAATACTACTTTTTTACCCATAAATTATGCATTATACATCAGTTTGTCTGCTAAAAATTCAGTCTTACAGTTCATTCATTTGACCTCATGTAAATTTTTGTCTTTTTCAGTCTATTTTTCTTGAACTAGAGTAGGAGAATCTTCAAAAAACATTATAAAAATAATAAAGATCAAACTTCATTTTTTTTTTTTGATAATTATGGTATTCAGACTAATAGTATGATTGATGTTAAACAAAGAGAAATAAGAGAGCATTGATCATGGGCATGACAATCATATATATGTAGGGTATACGTTGAAATTAATTCATATTTTGGGCAAATTAATAGCTGTGCCTTTTGTTTTGTTAGGAATGTCATTAAATTAGATAACGATCTGATATTTTCTAAATCCTTAGGTAAGAAATTACAAAAAAAAAAAAGTTCTTTGAAAAAACCGTGAATTAGAAAGGATTGGTCAAAGAAGTATGAAATGAGGACTTTTAATATACCTCCTATTGCATTTTAATTTGTTCGATATTTTTTGCTTAAATAAGTGTATTTAGTATGATAAAAAATATTTTCCGAAAATATTTTGCTTGAGCACGTGAGATGAAATTTTTTGTTCTAAAAGACATGTCATGAAATAAGAGTGAGATGGAGGTTTAAAGACATCACGACTGCGTAATTCTCAAAACTAAATAAAATGTTCCAAATTATTACTATTTTGTATTATAAAAAAAAGTGTTTCAAATTATAATGTGTTGGGAAAATGGGAGACATAATTAGCTTATGTTGTATGCAATTTTAAGACTTTCTTTGTTAACTTTTTGGTGATAACACTTGGTTAATAGCCTGTTTGGCCAAGTATTTTTTTGGCATTTTTTTTTAATATTAGAGTTAACTCGTTTGGCCAAACTTTTAGAAGGAAAAATAATATTTTTAAGTAGAAGCAAAAGCAATTTTTGAGAAACAGAAAAATATAGCTTCTCCACAA